GCGGCGGTTCCCCGCGCCTCTGAGGCTTGGCTCTGGCAAAGCCTCAGAAGCGCGGGAACCCGCCCGGTGCCCCTGGTCTGCTGGAGACGGTGTCCAGCAGACCAGGGGCACCGGAGCAGCTTACCAACGGGGCTTTCTCGCCCCGACTTCCGGGGCGAGAAAGCCCCGTTCGTAAGTGCGGATCCGACATAAGTCGGATCCGCGTAAGTCGGGGACTGCCTGTATCTCCTCGATGTCCGTCTTCTCTCCTGAGCCTCCCATCTCTCCTCCCCTCTCTCTCCTCCTCCTATTGCCTCCCCCCACCTCTGCTCTCCTCCGCCTTCTGCCTCTCTCTCCATCTCTTCTCCCCCTCTTGCCTCTCACTCTGCTCTCCTCTGTCTCAGACACACGCTCATCCAGACCCAGACCCATGGGCATGTACATCACCCCCCCCTTCACCTCCCACCATGGCGCTTGGCTGACTTCTGTGCCGCTCAGCTGGGCCGCCGCGTGGGAGCAAGTGGCACAAACAGCCTCCCTCTTCTCCTACTGCCTCACCCTCTCAGCTCGCATCCGCCTCCTGCCTCTCCCTGCTTCTCTTCTCCTGCTGCGTGTCTCTCACTGTCCTCTGCCTCCTCCCTTCTCCTCCGCATCCTTAGTGTCTGCTCTGCTTTCCTCCTTTTGAATCCAGCGTCCTTTCCTGACATCAGACACGCACACTCGTCCAGGCCCTGCCCCCAGCTGTTCCCTCTGGGCAGCGCTGTTGCCTCCTGCTATGGCGCTCAGCTGACTGCAGCGTCCCTCAGCCGGGCCGCTGCACAGGAGCAAGCGGCGCAAGCAGCTGTTTGGGGTCCGCACTCCCCATGCAGCCTCAAACAGCTGCTTGCTCCCGCGCAGTGGCCCGGCTGAGCAGCTCAGAAGTCAGCCAAGCACCATGGCGAGAGGGAAAAGCGCCGCCCAGAGGGAAAAGCCAGCTTTTGAGTCACAGACATTGGGCTACTTTTCAGTGAATGAGAGTTTCTAGGCTAGCAACACAATACAAGCAATATAAACATCTCCCCTGATATTAGGCAAGTTTGGAATTTGGACTACAATTTCATTTTATAGTTACTGAAATGCTCTCTGAAAAGAGCCATTCCATTCCTAGACCAATTAGCAATACATATAGGCACTGAAGGAATGACGTGAGCCAGAACAAAATCTCACTGCTTTATAAAATCTTAGGTTCCAAAGGCAGAAGGGATTATTGCAACCTAATCTGCACAGGCCATTCAACTTCCCCAAAACAATACTTGCCTGATCTGGAGCATCTCTTAAAAAAATCCAATCTTTATTTAAACAAGTCATTGGTAATGAATCCACCACAACCTGTAAGTTCCAGTGATTAATTATCCTGTTAATTTACACTTCCCCAATATGAACTTTGTCTACCTCTTTATACCTTTTCCTTCTAGAATGAAGATTCCATTACCAAATATATAAAGACATTTGGCACTTGCCACTGCTGGAAGACAGTACTGGGAAACACGAACATTGATGTGTCCCAGCCTGGCATTCTTAAGTCCCTGTATATGACCGCCCTGTCCTCAAGTAGTGGTGTAATACCTTTATAAAATTATTCAAGGTAACTGAGCGCAAATGTGAAATGTTAACAGTTAACAGAATCTGGAGCCTAACTAGGAATAACTGTACTTGAAAGATTATTTATATGCTTGTGTAAACAAATCACTTGTTGGAATACTGGCTTACCTGAGTACATAAGCTTCCTGCTTGTCAGTTTTTGTCACACTTATGATCAAACAATGCACATTCTCCAAAAGTTTGTCCCACTCAAACCTATAAAATAAATCATTAAGTTAAAGTTAATTTAAACACCAAGAGGACTTACCACAGAATTCAATTTCATTCTATAGTTGAAATATGGTATCTTTAAGAGGAAGACTTGATATTAGAAGCAGTAAGATATTAGATGCAGTAAACCATAAAACATATCACCTCTTAACAGCTTCAAATGTAGTAATGACAGTTTACTTCTCCTTTCTGAGCTTACACATCAACTAGTGAGTTTCCACCAGTTTTATCTTTAAGTCACCATGGCTTAAATGACACTGCATATGGATTGAAAACAATCACAACTACTCTTTTGGAAAAGCATACAGCTACACTGGTTGGTTAATTGTTTCCATACTTCAATAGAGATAATACTTTCATTTGTGCAGCAAGTACTCTTTAGCTCAGCTAACCACTCACTCCATCCAAAGACACTAGTTTCTACTAATTTGTAGATAACATCCTGTGGCAATAGCTTGTAGTCAACCCCCCCCCCCCCACCTGCTAATTCACCATGGCATGTCAAACTGACAGCTTACCCATTTGTTCAATATACAGTTGAGCTACCTGCTTGCCAACCTGCACTGCTGCCTCTGATACAGCCCTGTCTGCAAGGAGCGTGGGGGTTTCCAAGCTTCAGGGAAGCAGCCCATCTGCAGTGTGCTCAGACCCTCGCCCCCAGTGGACAGGGGCTGCTCCTGGGGAGAAGCCTCCCCTATCCCACCCTCCATGCTGCTGCCTTGGATAGAGGCACCACCAGATCCCAAACACCTTGCTGGGACCCTCAGGCATACACTGCCCTTTCAACTGCAGTCTGTGTGGGTCTGCTCTGCAGACAGGGGGAGCCCAATTCTCAGCTCCCATTGGCTGGAAACAAGCAGCCAATAGGTGCTGAGAGATTGGCTGGGGGATGGGGCAATACAAGCCTCTTCCTCCTCCTGGAGAGGACAGCCATGTGGAGGGAGCAGCCTGCAGTTTCAAGCTGTCCAGAACTGCAGCAGGCAGGGAGCCCAGCCAGGCTGTATCTAGACTACATCCCTTTTCTCAAAAAAGGGATGTAAATTAGACACTTTGAAATTGCTAATGAAGCCGGGATTTTAATTTCCCGCCCTGTATTTGCATAATGGCAGCCATAGGTTGTTTCCTGACAGGGCTTTGATAGAAAAATGGTAGTTTAGACCGGAATCTTTCAAAAATAAAACTTTCAAAAGATCCTGTACTCCTCAGAAAATGAGGTTTTCAGGATCTTTCGAAAAGGGTTTTATTTTCGAAAGTTCCCCATCTAAACTGCTATTTTAATATCAAAAAGCCCCATGTCGAAAAAACTGCAGCTGCCATTATGCAAATGAAGTGCAGTAAATGTAAATCTAGGCTTCATTAGCAATGTCAAAGTGTCTAATTTACATCCCTTTGAGAAAAGGGACGTAGTCTAGACACCCTCAGGTAAGCACCTCCCAGCCAGAGCCTGCCTCTGGCATCCCTGCCCTCCCGCACCTGAACTCCCTCCCCCCAGGTCACCATCCAAACCCCCCTGCACCTCCTTGCCCCTGGTCACAACCCCCTCCTTCATCCAAATGCCCTTCTCCCCCCAGGTCACCATCCAAACCCCCCTGCACCTCCTTGCCCCTGGTCACAACCCCCTCCTTCATCCAAATGCCCTTTCAGACCTTACACTGTCTCCTGCACCCCAGTCCTTGCCCCGTGTGCCCTTCTACCCCAGCCTCCATCCTAGACCCTGCATCTCCTCCACAGAAAAGTATGGCCATTGACCACTTTCCAATCTTGCAAGTGCCCTCCCCCCCACCAAAAATTGCCCACCCCAGTGTAGCTGGTATCAAGGGGGGGAACTAGCTTTTAAGTTGGCTCACCCCAGCATCTGCTCCTGCCTGTCTGTCCCTCTCCTCCCCCCGTAAGAGGCAGCAAGGGGGGCAGGTGCGTCTGCACAGCCAGCACATGAGAGCCAGCTTAAAAGCCTACCCCCCATCATCCTCTGCACTGCTGCCTTTGAGGCAGCTATGCAGGGGTAAGGGGAATGCATGTAGTCAACAGGATTAACGGATAAGCCCAGGCTAATAGGTTAATCGTTTAGCCATCTACATACTGACGTCCCTAACTGAAACCAAGTGCTAAATTTCACAATTATGAAACTAATGCTGAATTCCAGATTAGCAATACAAGCCCATTCATCTACATATAACACCAGCAAAAAGTTGAACTAAAAACCAAGAGCTAAGAATCAGAAAGTGTCCCACTGAAGAAAAATTCATTTGAGAATTAAAACCTTAAAGATTAAAGCAATAACTTGCAGTTTAACTCCGCACTGAACGCTTCCAGTAATCCATTCTCCAATCTACTATCTATATTGCTTCAGTCTTCTACAATCAGTGATTTGCAATGAAGTGATCTAAAATGCACAGCAGGTTTTTTTTAAACCTAAGTCAAAGATGATAAAGTCTTTAACTCTGCATGATCTTCTGCTATTATTACTGATTCAGCTGCTGCTCTATTCTATTTCTGATCTAAGCGCCCCTTTTTACTACTCAGGTTTCATGCCTCTTCTGGGGCAGATTTCTGCGGTTCTCCCACTCCAAGAACTGGTTGCAGTACCGGGTATATAATAGTACTTCCTTTTGGGAGTCTGACCTGTCTGTAAATAGCAACAAACCAGCCTTAAACAGAAAGTTACTGTGCAATATGACTAAACGCAAGAGAAAATGTCTTCAAACGAATGTTTTATGTTAATGTCCATTTTACACTGAAGACTAACCATTACCTGTAGGGTTGCCAGGTGTCCGGTTTTGAACCGGACAAGCCAGTATTTGAGCTCTCTGTTCAGAAAACAAATTGAGAAAATATAAATGAGAAAATATAAATGTCCACTATTTTCTAAGTAAGATGTAAATGTAGATTGCGATGTAATGTCAAGTGTGTCCAGTATTTGCTGAAACCATCTGGCAACCCTAACTTTACCTGGCTCTTAAATCTCAGTATGTTGTATAAGCATGTTTTGAGCAGTGTAAAGCAATTGCTTCAGTAAGACATCCTGTACCAATAAGTCAGCTGTACACCTGCAGTATTCGCTATACTCAAACTTTTTTATTTGTACTGTTCTTACACACTCAAGACAGCACAGTCTCCTTCCAACTTACATACCAGATCTTTCAGATTTAAACTAATAGTGTTCCAACATGCTGGATTTGATCACAGTATGATCTATTTAATCAAACTGGTTAGACTTCCTGATTCAATCAATCTGAGGACAAAAAAATACTTGGGTACTTTGTAAAATATTAGATTCAGGAGTATACTGAAAACAGACTGTTTATCTTCCCTCTTTCATATAGTTCAAACAAATGAAATTGGCTTTAGATGTGTACTCATTTATTTTATCCAAGTGAAGGTTTTTTATTTTGACTCCTGAAGTGATATATTGAAAGACTTTTTAAAATTTGGGCTATCACTGATAAGTTCCTACATTCTGCTACTAACAGCATTAATCATACATGTATATATTGTTGGCTGAGTAAAGTGAAGCCTTAAACACCAGTTGATGGCCTCTGTGCCCTAAACATTTGAAATCTACAACTGATCATTTCTAAAGTCTCAGAAAATATTCGGGGAATGTTCAAGACTAAACCCATACTATAAAGTCTGAGCCAGAAAAACCTGGTTTTCATTGAGCTCTCTAGCTGGTCACTAGTACAGGAGTGAGGACAGAGCTTCCTCTAACTATAGTGTCAAATATGCACTATAGGCCTAATTAGTGGAACTCCAACAACTGGAAGCTTCCAAGGTCATCACTTGCTTGGGATGGCCATTCCTCCCTCCCCCACTCCAAACCCAGCCAAAATCAGAAGCCTGATTTTAGAGAAATTTTCTGGTTTCCCTTTGACAAAAATCAACAGTTTGGATCAGTGGGGTGATTAATTGTCCACCTTGGTATACATCAGGGGTGGGCAATGTCAGCAATTTTGGTATGTGATCACTGGCGCTCCCCCCCCCCCCAAAAAAAAAGAAAAAAGAAAAAGGGTAGAGCCTTGGGCAGAAGGCAGGGGTTGGAGACTTCAGAGACAAACAGTGTGTAACAGTGACACTGTACTGGCTGCTACTGGGTAAGTGAGAAAAGCCATGCTCTGTCTTTTAAAGGAAATGTTTCCTGCTGTTCTCCCCCCACTCCTGTTCTGCACTCTTGACTCACCATCCATGCTTCAGATTCAAACAGCTCCGCTGTATGTCTTCCTCTAACTTCCTCATCTCTGCAGAGATGAGGAACGGGCAGAGGGACACCCTGACTTCAGCATTCCCCTTCATCTCTCCCCACCACCCATACACACTGCACAGCTAGCAGAATTCTCGAGTAGCTTGGCTGCAGGACAGAGCAAAGTGAGGGGAAGGGCAGCTGAACACCTGCTACCAACTGTAAGTATGCATGCTCTGTTAATCAGCTAGGCAGACAAGAGAGATGTGCTTGGTGGGCCAGTTCCAGCCCCCAGGCCTGATTTTGCCCACTCCTGGTGTAACTATAGCTTAGCTTGCATGAACAATCCATGCAACCTTCTAGTAAGCTTAACATTTAATGAGCACTGTCCCAAGAACACTGAGTATGATTTACAAGAAAACAATGAAATAAGGGATCAAACTTGTAGTTCTCATTTAAAGTTTTAGAATACAGAAAAACAAATGCTACTGAATGAGCTGCAAATTAATTGCCTACTTAAAACTTATTAATAAGGCCATCTCTACTTGTCTCATGTCACCAAAACTTTTGCTCAGGGATATGAAAAATCCTCAGTGATATTAGTTTCACCAGCATAAACACTCATATGCAGTTACATTGATGGCAGAAGCTGACATAACTACTGCCACTTGATGTGATTTTATGTCAACAGTTAGTGGACCTACAAGGGGAGAGGAGTGGACAAGTGGGGAGGGGGAGGAGCCATTGGGTCTGCTCTGCTGTTTGGTTCCATGGAACAGTGCAGGAAAATAGTGTAAAACAGTTAACT